GGATTGATATCTGTAGCTGAAAATTATGTCTTGGTAATGTTGAAAGTGATTCAATAAACTGAAGATGAGGCACATTAAAACTATTAGCCAACACTGTTACAACACCGTCAAGCCCAGGGGGGGGGGGGGGGGCATTAAAATCACAACTAAGTTTCACAAGGTCTGCTTCTTTGAGTCACACCTTTTAGTTTACTCAAATCTTGCATTTAAATCAAACTTTGATGCTGTTAGTTTTTAAAGGTCTAACTTGCCTTTTATCTGCCAAGACTACTGGAGCTGATTTATGGACCACACATATGACCATCTGCGCTCTAACTGATTGCCATGATGGTTAATGGATTATTATGTGACTTTTCTTTTGTACAAAAAAAAAGATAATTATTTGTACATATTTGCTCAAATAAACAGCTGCATTTAAATGTACTTTGGTCATGCTTGAGATGAACTGTAATGGTGCCTGGATTGTAAATCCTTATTGAGCAAATTAAGGTGCATGACTTTTCATCACAATAAATTGCAAATTTCCATTAAAACCAGCCCCATAAATCATGCCCCAAGTAAAGCATGACAATGACACCAATTCAGCAGAATAAAGGGGAGGATTTTTTTTTTCAGTTGCCACATTTAGACTCCTTTAAATTGGATGCTTTCAGACTAGCAGTCATAAAAAGATAGTCTCACGTTTTAATGTTTTTGTGCAAAAAAAGAACGCTTTGTTCCTGTGTCATATTGCAAAGGAAATGTTGTCTTCAGGCAGCTAATAGTTACCTTAAATTCATACATTAAACAAGCAATTACACCCCATCCTTTAATGTCTGATACATACAATTTTGGCAAAAACTCGTACAAACAAAATACTCTCACTTTCTGTTATTTCACCTGCTTCAGAGTAACTGGTTCTCATATCCTACCTTCCACGATCATTACTGGATCACAAAGGCACGCTGGTTTGAACTGTCCAATCTTTTGACTCCTGAGAAATGAGGAAGCTAGTTTTATTTCAGTCTCGCTCTCATTGCACAGCACCGGACAAATGCCTTTAAAGCCCTGAAAGTGTAATAAATGATGTGGAGACAAACAGCATCTGAGTCAGAGGTTCCCAGCAGCACATCATTAACCAGGACACTTAATTCCCTCAGCTGCTCTGCAAGCCCGTGCTGCGTAGCCTGAGGCCTGGGCATTTGACAGATCCACAGAGAGACCCCCACTCCGACTCTATAATTGGTCTGGCAAAAATAATGCACGGCCAACGACTGAACAATCCAGCCTTTGCAAAGTGCAACACACAGTCGGGCTTCCTGCTTTGTGAGGTTGTTAAGGAGATAAATGTGACATCTGGCCCAGCCTTTGCTGCTCTTCAAACTTGTCTTTCACGCAGCGATGCTTCAGCTTTCATCCATGGCATCATTGCCTCCTTACTGACTTTTTCTATTTTATTTTAAATGATACCTCCTTACACGTGTCAAGTTTGCCCTGTGAGGCCATCGTTCAGCTATTTCATACATTTCCCACAATTCATTCCCCTTTCCATCCCTGGCTTTGATATCTCACTCTACCCCTTCACTCTTCACTCACTTATTATTACAGCCCTTCCTCACCTACTTTCTTTGTTCCTCCTTACATTCCCTTGCATGTGCTTCCTTTCTACACACTTGGCGTACTGGGGTTTTCATCCCCATTCTGCGCTAATAAACCTTCTCTAGTGTTCGTCTTGGCGTGCTGGGTCGACGAAGGCGCAATGAGGTCACGGCGTTAAAGACGGATGGCTGTAATCTGGTTTGTGGCTCAGCCATCTGCTGTAGTCAGCTGCTTGCTAACTGCAGGCCCGGCCTTTATTATACTACACGCCTCTACATGGCATTTAATCAGAAGAATTAACATCACCGGGCCGCGGAGGGGAAAGAAAGTACTACCCGCGTAAACCCTGAGGCAGGACTGGTAGGCTAAGAAAGATGAGACAGACATTCTCCATTAAGAAAGATGAAGCTTTGCCTCTCAAGTGGATGCAAATGAGTAAATATTAGGTGATTTAAAAAAAGAAAACAGTGAAAAGTAAGTTCTTGTAGCTAAATCAAATTCTGTAAGCGATTTGGTCGACATCTTGTCACACAGAAGGATCCCAGTTTCTATAAGGTGTCAGTGATGACTTAAGTATGACCAATTTGAACGACTAAAGTTTCTGTTTTGCGGGCCTGTTGCTACATGTATAAAAGCTGCCGACAACTGTGTGTCTTCCAGACTAGTTAATAAATGCCCTGTGATTAGAGGATCAAATAGGAGAAGTGAATTAGCAATTCCTCTGATCACAGCCTGTAGCAGCAGATGAAGAGAGCCTCACACAGCATACAGAATACCCCTTATGATAAGGAAATTGTGGAGAGAAACAGACAAAAAAGCAATTTCTTATGCCCTTATGTGATGTACACCATTTGTCCATCATCTGATACTGCCATCATAACAACCCTGTCGGCATATAGTCTTGTCTGGGTAACAGCCTCAAACAATTTCTTTACATTTGCACATTTTGTTTGGAAGTTGCCTAAAAAACGTCAGTTCCCAAAACGTTTAATTTGCTGTAATGGTTTGGCTTTTCATCGACATCTGAAGACCAATAAAGGAAATATATTTTTGCTCCTGATCCACATTACAGTAGTCCCTCGTTTATCATGGGGGATTCGTACCCTGAAACCCCGCGATAAGTGAAAAACAGTGAAGTAGGAATAGTAGTACAAGTAGTAAGTAGTATTTTAGTATGTATGTATATATATATTGTTTTTTATAAAGGGGTTTTAAACCCTTCCCACATCCATCCATCCATTATCTTTACCCGTTTATTCCATTTTGGGTCACGGGGGTCGCTGGTGCCCATGTCCAGCAATCACTGTGCGAGGGGCGGGGTACACCCTGGACGGGTCGCAAGTCCATCACAGGGCCACCCTTCCCACATTCTTGCAAAATTCTAAACAAGTGGTTCCCAACCCTGGTCCTTGAGGAACACCCTCTTGCATATTTTAGTCGTTTCCCTGCTCCAACACACCTGAATCAGTGATTTAATTACTTCCTTATGTTCTGCAGAGGCCTGTAAATCACCCATTTATTAAAACCCGGCGCGACGGAGCAGAGAAACAACGAAAACATGCAGGATGGTGTTCCTCAAGGACCAGGGTTGGGAACTCCTGTACAATGTTTCTAAACTCTAAAAGAGCATAGAATGTCACAATTTCAGCTCTCTGCCTCCGTCGGCCACGCCCACTTGTCCGCTGCAGAGCGGAGATATGAGATATGACACGCTGCAGGAGGAAGCTTCTCCTGCAAGTTTGGACTGCACACATGTGCAGCAGTTGCTAAATAGTTTACAGTAATTTATTTTAAATAAAAATTCTATGCCGATCATGCAACTCATCCATCAGCCGATTGTGTGTCATGTCCAATCTAACTTTGAGAAATCGCTATAGAGCGAGTCCGCAAAAAACAAACTGCGACGTAGCAAGGGACTACTGTATTGCAGTTTCATATCCCATTAGGTCTAAAAGCACTGTCATTTCACGAGTTGGGACAAACACACAGCATGGTGGAGGTTCACTAAAACCTGTGTGAATGAGAGAGTTTTCCCAGAGCTACACTGAATCCCTTATTAATGCAGACTCATTCAGTTTCTCATTTAAGAAACCCAAAGCTCCACTCTGCAATCTTCTCTGATTTAACAGGTGATGGGATTGGGCACTAGTCGGAAGTCAAGAGGATATCCATTTAAATTGCCCTTAAGGATTCATAGTTTCTGGTTTTTTTTTTTTTAACATAAATTGTTCCCAGTAAAGTTTCAGCGATAAAGCATCAAACAAATTTACTCCTGACGTGCTTTGCCTGTGAGAACTGATCCAAATCTGAGAATGAATTGGTTACTAAATGAATTCGTTTATCTGCTTGAGAGGCAAAGTTTGAGCAGTAACCTCTGAACAAAGACAGAGAATTAGCTGAAGTCTCGAGAGCTGTGAGACATGGAAACTTAAAAAAAAAAATCAAAAGCTTTATCATCCATGTGACCTTGAAAACAAATAGAAGCCTTTAATGGTTGCCCAGTGAAACGCATGCCTTCTTCAGGATGTAACATTTGTGGTGTGATTAAACAAACAAGAGAACTTAGAATCCAAATGACCTGAACAATATCCACAGCTTTATATATCCTCATCTGTTGTCACCACACAGATATTCACCTGACGACCTCACAGAGGTCATGGGAAATGTGCCTAACTAATTACAGGGAGGCAACTGGTGCTGCATTTTGTGCCATGGCCTTTGACTGCTGCGTTCAGAAGAGCATGAAGACATTCGAGCTCCTGCTTTTAGAAACAACTAAATATAAAGACAGGAGGAAACTCTGACCCCTGAAAGCAACTGGAAAATGGACAAGTTTATCACACTAATGCCTCTTTGTTGCTTTCTCCATATGCGTTTATTGTGAACAAAAGTTTGCGAGACTAACTTTATCACAGTGCAACTTTATCTTTTCTCTGAAAAAAACACCATTCAGTAAATGCATTAAAAACAACAAGATAAAGTGTTGTGGTTTTGAAAATGAAATGTTTCCCCATTCTTGCTAAACGTTCACGCTTTTGGACTTCCTTTATCCGTTTTTATTTAAAGAGCAGCAAATGTTTTCAGTGAGGCCATTTTAACACTTGAATTCAACCTCTTTACTTTAGAGTCATGCCAATAAAAGACATGCAAAAGTTGGTTAGACGTAATCCTAATGAATCAAGCAAGAGTTTCCTTAAAAAACACCAACAAAATCATTTTAAAATGTATTTACTGAGGTCTATTTATTTTAATTGTGACCAAATTTATTATAAAAGCCATTTACTCCACCGTTAATTATTACCTTTGTAACAATATCCACCTTTTTCTTAGTGCTGTTGTATTTTAGCAGTTATGGCTAAATGTGTAAGGACATGGAGGAAATCCGACAGGGCTGAAACAGTAAGAGAAACAATTAAACTTACCTTATCTGAGTACACAAAGAACAGGATGAGCAATATCAGCTCTGCCAGAAGAATTATCAGCAGAACAATGAAGAACTGTCAAAGAAAAAGAGAATTTATAAAAATGATGTTCTAGCAAAATTATTGCAAAATACATGCTCTATTGCTCACAGCTTTTTGAAGTGGTTTAAAAAAAAAACGAATATATGAATTTTTCAAATCACATGTGAACCCAAAAATGACACATTTTGAATTTCTCCATACTAAGTACTGTATGAGACAGTTGATAACACGACTTAAGAACTAAAAACATCACTTAAAATGTGATCAGTTCAATTCAGTTTATTTATATAGCACCAAGTCACAACAGGTCATCTCAGGGCACTGAACAGAAACATTCACATACATTATAAATTAAGTTAATTACATTATTTATCTGAGGAGCAGACTGCTTTGAGTTTAACTCCATCACAGACTCATCTTGAGCATGAAGGCAACTGTGGAAAGGAAAAACTCCCTCGTGAGGAAGAAACCTTTAGCAGAACCAGGCTCAGAACAAGCGGCCATCTGCTTTGACCGGATGGGCTTGAGAGGAACAGGAAGGAGGAATAGATACACAATGGCAGGTCGAGAATCTCAAGTTAAGATAGAAATGATATCAAATGAAAACTTTTCAATTTTAACAATTAAAGACATGAGGTCAATTTGTCTTCCAGGAGTCTAAGTCTATAGCAGCATAACAAGCCAACCCTAACTATAGGATTTATCAAAAAGGAAAGTCTTAATCCCAGTCTTAAAACTGGACAAAGTGTCAGCCTCATGGACAGAAACTGGAAGTTGGTTTCACAAGAGAGGAGCCTGATAACTGAAAGATCTTCCTCCCATTCTGCTTTTGGAAACTCTAGGAACTGCAAGTAAACCTGCAGTCTGAGAGTGAAGTGCTCTGTTGGGAAAATATGGAACAATAAGACCTCGAATATAAGATGGAGCTAGGTTGTTGATGGCTTTGTAGGTTAGAAGATTTTAAATTCAATTCTTGACTTGACCGGGAGCCAGTGGAGAGAAGCTAAAACTGGAGAAATATGATCTCTCCCACTAACTCCAGTTAAGACTCTGGCAGCAGCATTTTGGATCAACTGAAGACTTTTTAAAGAAGTTTTTGGACACCCAGATAATAAACCATTGCAATAATCCAGTCTAGATGTGACAAATGCATGAACCAGTTTTTCTGCATCATTTTTAGATAAGATGTTTCAAATTTTAGCGATATTATGCAGGTGGAAGAAGGCGGTTCTAGTAACGTTTTTAATGTGGGGGTTAAATGTGGGACCAGAGCCTTTAATCAAAACAGATTATTCTGTTTATTTTGCACAAAGCCACAATTTTACATGAACAAACTAAAATTATGTGGGGCATTAGTCAGGCTGGAGTTTTTGATAGCTTTTTTTTTGGCAACCATTCTGGAAGAGACATTAAGACTCAGGAAAGTTACGACACATGACCACAAAAATTCAGCTCTTAAACAAGCAAATTAACGGCTGTTCTTCTCGAGCATTTACCACATGTGTGAGCTGGAAAGAGCTGCAGCTTCACGTGTTTATTTATTAGATAACATGGAAGCAAATCTTTATATTTTTAGACCCAAAATACATGGTTTACAAGGATTTTCACACGATAACTTTCACATCGTGTCCCACTTTTGTATGTGCAAAATGGATGCGTCTACGCCTGCTGTGAACATGCAGCTACAGCCAAAAATCTCCATGTGTCAAGAACGTGCAAATAGCAACTGCAGAGAAGAAAATCGGAACTAATTTGTGCACAAATTTCCCTGAGCCTTCCCAGTGCTCTTATATGGGAAAACTGCTTTATGAGAACAAATGAAGAGGAATTTCCCAATAAGTCTGAATCCTGCTTACAGGGTACCTTTAATTATTTCATCTTGGCAGCGTAATCCAGAATACTTAAAATAAGATGAATGCACTTAAAAGGAGGATGAATAGAAAATAAACTCAAAGGGACAATAGAATTCAGCAAAGAAAGAATAAAAAAATATATAATTTAAACGCTGGAAGACTTGTTAATGTACAAGGAGAGGGGTTAAATTAGTCCTAAGATTAACTTCCAATACTCCTACATCTCAGCTGCTGTTCTTATTTACCTACTTAACTCCCCGTCAACTCAATATTTACAACCTTTTCTTGTGCAGCATGGAAGAGAACAAGCAAACCTAGATTTCAGAAAACCCTATTAATTCTGTGCTCATTCGTGAGGAGGGGGAGGGTAAGCTTTTTTTTATGCCACGGCCCACATAAAATAGTTACGACGGCCTGTTCCTGGGTTTGGTATGTGGGTTGCCAGTTTAATGTACGACTGTTGTGCGTTCACAGTTGAATTGTCACACTTTCCTGGCGGAGAGCGTTGATGGAACGGCTTCTGTACCGTCAACGTGAAGCGCCTCAATGGGCTTGAATGGGAGTACTTACAAGCTCACATCCATTCTCCATTTTGCTAACATATACTGGAAATTTATAATTACCATATTTTAATATGTAGCCCAATCCAACAAATGTTGTATTTTAGCATTTTTATTCACACTTCTATTTATCAGGGTTCAAAGGGTTGTTGGCACAGAAACAGAAAAGCCGAAAAGATACTGCAGAGGATGTCTGGACTTTGTCTGGTTTTCTTCAGAGTGTTGTTGTCAAGGTAGACGCTCAGATCTGTTTGCACCCTGAGATCTGAACACGCTCTGATCTTTGAACAACGTGACACCGTCGTCCTCTTCCTCTTTGCCTCATCCCTTTAAAAAAAAAGTAAATAAAATAAAATAAAAAAAGAACAGCAGCGACTCCCTGGACAGCGCTTCCACAAACAGATTTAAAGGGCCAGATGCGTAAAGCCACCTCACAAAGATGCAGCGCATAGTGATGTAAAGTCCTGAGTGAGGTACTTAATGCAACTTTTATAGGCTGCATTAAGTAGCTTTTCTTTTACTCAACCTCAAACTTCTCCTCGGCTCTCCTCCCTCTTTCTTTGCAGTTGTTAGGCAGGTGAAGGAAGCCACGTGTAACACAGAGGATTTACGGGGGGGCTTCTGACTGATGCAAGAGCTCCAAGGGATTGAGCTGTTTGTGATGGTAAGTAGTCAGTGAGCCATCTTCACTTCTCATTTAAAGTTTCTGTACATGAGACTTTATTTCTGCCTTCTGCTGCGTATCAACACCAACCTCGTTCCACTGCGCTGAACTTTCGTAATTAACTTGCGCTTAAGATAAAACACTTGTGCAACTTTTGGCAAACAGCGCAACATCAAGGCAAAGTAGCCTTTGTAATGTATAATAGAACATTATTAATTATTAAGCTCATCCAATGTCATTTAGCATGCTATATACACACACACACACACACACACACCAACGATAGAATAATTTGTAAGTAAAGTTGATGTATATAGCGCCTGTCATAGATGCTTCACACTAGAAGCAGTACAATATTAAGAACATACACATAAATACATATAAACATCCATACATGTAAAACAGACAAAAACAGGTAAAACAACAAAATTCAACATCTAGCTAAATGCCTGTTTAAAAACAAATGTCCTCAGATGTTTTTTAAATGCATCAATATAATATAGACTGCGTAAATATGGAGGCAGAGCATTCCAAGGTTGGGGTGGGATTGTTTGAAATGGCCCATCCCCATGAGATTTGAAATGGGTGTTTGGGTACCCAACAACCTATGACCTGATGAGAGACGGGGTGTGGAGCTGAACCGTCAGAGACATAAGAAGGCACTTGTTCATGCAAACTGGGAACCAGTGAAAGGGAAGCTAAAGCAGCTAGGATGTGAGCTCGTTTGTTTATGAGAGTTAGCAATCTTGCAGCTGAGTTCTGGACAACCTGAAGACGTTCAGCTCTTTCTCGTTTAAACACGTGAATAAGCTGTTGCAATAGTCTAAACGAGAGGAAATAAAAGCACAAATGATCATCTCAAGTCCAGTTTTTGACAGAAAGCATTTAAACTTTGAAATGTAGCCGAGATGGAAGTGGCAGTATCTAGTCAGTTGTTTTAAAGACATCAACACAACACAGTGCGATTTGATTTAGTATTTTATTGTTTTGTGCTTTGATGTTTTCCTTTCTTTTCTTTAAATTACTGCCATTGATTTTTATTGTTAAGTAGGGCTGAACAATTCATCGCATTTGCAATAATATCGCGATATGATAAAACGAGATTTCCTAATCGCAAAGGCTGCAATTTGACTGGTCACGTGATCTGATTATGTGACTTGCAAGTGAGTGGAGCAAAGCAGAGCAGGGAGCGGGAGAAGTCAACACTGCGCTTTAACAGGTTGCACGATGGCGTCAGGCTCGACAGAAGCTGATACAGCTGAAAGTTTGGTACCAAAGTGGGGCAGCACGTCCGTTGTTTGGAATTATTTTGGCTACAAAAAGAAAGTGCGAAATGAAATGTATTGTGCAGAACCTGCTTTGCTAATGTTGCTACCTCTCGAGGTAAGACCATAAATCTTTATCAACAATTAAAAAAACCCACCACAAAGTCATTTACGATAGTTGCATGGCTATAATGCCAACTTAAAGAAGGCAGAGTACCAGCCGACAGGGATCAATGACCGAACTGTTTGAAGGTATTACTCCGTATGAACATAATTCGAAATGGAACAAAAAAAATAACTCGAGCATTAACAGAGTTCATAGCGAAAGACATGACGCCCATTAATATTTGGCTTTGGTAAACATAATGAATAAGTGGTACAGAATGCCCTCGCGCACACCTTTTAGCCAAGTTGCTATCCCGGAGCAACTCAAAAAATACAGAAACAGAGTTGCAGCGGAGCTGAAACCAGTAGAGTTTTTTTGCACCTGAAACTTGTGTTTGATGAAAAATACATGAAAAGAACACATTGAAAGATAATCGCATATTAAATCGCAATCGCAATATTGAGGTAAAAAAGAAAAATCGCAATTAAAATATTTTCTAAAATTGTTCAGCCCTTTTGTTGAGCACTTTGACCTATCTTTTAGCGTATTGTTTAGCGTTCATTTAATGTATATCTTAGATCCTTATATACAGTTTATTTTTATACTTTATATTTTTGGGTGTAACTGGAACCATGAGTACACAACATTGTTCCACCACATGTAACACGTGAAGCAAATGACAATAAAGATACTTGAACTTGAACAGCTGCTGTTTTTAAATGTGCTTTATAAATAAATTTGACTTGACATCACAGAATCAAAAATGACCCCCAAGTTTCTGAGGCTGGACTGAACCGAAGGACCTAGGACACCAAGGAAGTGCTTGATTTGAGAAACCTTGTTTTCTGGGGCAATAGTCAGAGTTTCAGTCTTATCTGAGTTCAGTTGCAACTTGTTGTCACTTCACCTTATCTGCAGACATATTCCTCCTGAAAGCTGGCTTGCTGTCTTTATTATTATTATTATTATTATTATTATTATTTACTTCTGTTCTTATTTTCTTGTTTGTTCCTGTAAAGATGCTTTCTGCTTCATCTATATATTTTTTCCATTATTACATCTTACCTATAATATTCATGACTTCAATCATTAATTATCGACTGCCACCAAAAGGCGAAGGTGAACGATGATGTCTGTACGTGTGTTTGTGTATCCGTCTTTTACCAAAGTAACTCATGAACATATGGGCAATTTTTGCGGGTTTTTTTTGTATGAAATTTTCACAAAGTAATTTGTGGACGTACACCTATAAAGGATTGCTGTTGGGAGTCAGCCTAATCCAAGATGGCTAGCATAACTCACTGACCTAAAAAAACTAAAACTGACAAATACGTAAAACTGATAAACATTGAGCTACATTTTGGTGTAGTTGTAGCAGAGAGTCTATCTCAACACGTACTTTAAGTGCTACGCATTCATTGATTTTTTTTGCCAAAAACTTTAGTGGGATAGTGGTTTTTCCCCACTATGGAAGTTGGTGCTTGTGGGACTCCAGTTTGGTTGTGGCTCCTCAGAATGAAGAAGTCCTTTGGATGAAGGATGAAACATCTCAGCAAATAAAGAACCCGTCCAGATGACATGACTGAATGTTGTATTTGTACCTGGATTATTGAGCATGAACTTTGGTGTCAGCAGATACAGTTCTGTTACCGACATATCTCATGAACCAGTGGACAGATCCTGATCACACTTTCAGAAAGTTTTCATTTTGGTGTATATCTACAACTAGTTAAGTTTCAAAGTCAATCCATATCAAGATGGCTGCCATTAATCACTTTAGTCCAACAAATAGGGGCTTTAACTTGGTCGCACTGTAATTAAAACTACTGCTTGAGATTGTGCATAAAATATAAAATGCATTCTTTAATTTGTACTTAATATTTTATGCTTTTAGATACTCGTTGTCCTTGTTTTTATTGTCTGGTCTCTATGTTATTCTTGTTTATGCCATACTGATTCTAATTAAAGGCACCCTACCAATAATGTTTGTTTAAATTTTTATTAATACTGTATTATCATTTAAGTTTTTAATTGCTCCTGATGCCTTGCTTGCATTCAGGTCTTCAGCTTTACACAAGTGCATGGAGTGACCTTAACCAAAGTTCTGCGGAAGACATGCGATAGCTTTAATTTGCAGAGAGAGTGAATCCTGTTGCTCAGCTTCATCTCTATTTTTCTTTATCATCCCCGGAGATTTATCATGATCCAAATGGAACCCCTCCTGTCAGTCATCTACAGTATGTTCATAAACAATGAATATGCAAATGTTTTGCACATTTTTAAGCAACAATGGGTGAAAACAACCTTGAATAAAACAGATACCGTCAGTCCTTGAGTGGCTATTTCTCATTTCCTCTGCTAAGAAAAAAACCCTCTGAGTGAAATTACTGAAAACCTGTGGGTTGATCTGAATCCTGCTGTACATGCAAGACAGCTTAATTAAAAGTGATCTGCAGAGACTGCAAGAAGAAGTGAACTCTCTGTCTATAAAACAACACCTGCCTGTTACAATATTAGTAGTGGTTAATCAGTGAAGTGCCAGAACTTCAGCACATGGACACACTTCTAGATTCTAGATTTGATTTGAACCTTTTTTCAGTTTTGAGTTTGGAATATCCAAACTATTGTTTGCTACAGAAAACAAAGCTTCTAGCTCCTATGGGCTGCACGACACATTCTTGCCTCACAGCAAGAAGGTCCTGGGTTCATTTCTCAGTTTTGGACCTGGGGTCTTTCTGTGTAGAGTTTGCATGTTCTCTCCGTGCATGCGTGGGTTTTCTCTGGGTACTCCGGTTTCCTCCCACAGATCAAAAACATGCATGTTGGACTGCCTTCTGGCCCAGGTCTCCTTTGCAAGAGATGTGTGATCTCAATGGGAATTGCCTGATCACATAAAAGGTTAATTATAATGAAATGCCCTTTTTATGGTCCAATATTTTTCATTCATTATTTGTTTGCATTGTTATGTAATGCATTTCTGAAATGTCATTTTAGCAGCTAGTTTGGCACAACTTCACAGACAGCTAGAATTACCACAAGCAACCAAAGTCTTCCATCGTCTCCTGACCGTTTTAACTCTAAACTGTCTTGGCTGAAAAGGATGCCAGATATTATGCTCTGCTGCAGAACCACACAAAATATGTATTTTTATGGAACAGACAAGACTTAAGAGTCACCTGCCTCCACCCTCATTTGCCCCACTCTGGGCCCTTGAGTAAGGCCCTTAACCCCTATCATCTGCTCCCCGGGGTGCCCTAGATGGCAGCTCTCTGTTCCACACAGAAGGCTGTGGTAGCTCAGTGGACTGTGGTTGCATCAGGAATGGCATCTGGCTTAAGAATAATTGCCAAGTCTTCGTGCGATTTAGTTACCTGTGGTGACCCCTGAAGAAGGGAGCAGCCGGAAAAAAAAAAAAAAAAAAAAAGACAAGACTCAAGAGATTATCAAAGTTCATGCTTAATAATCCAGGTAAAAATCCAGCAATGTTCAGTTAAGTTATCTGGACATTTTCTTTTTCCTTGTCGAGATGTTTTGTACTTCATCAAAAGGACTTCATCAGTCTGATGTGCCCCAAACAAACTGAGTTCCACAAGCAGCACACTCCCATAGTGGAAAAAACAGTTTACTGGGGATAAGATGATTTCTAGAGTCCACCCTCTCCCCCGTCAACTCCTCCGAGGCAGCCACAACCGATGTGGCTCAAAACATCAAAGTTCATGATCAGTAATCCAGGTAAAAAATCCAGCAATGTTCAGTTAGGTCATCTAGACGGCTCCTTTTATTTTGATGAGATGTTTCGTCCCTCATCCAAAGGACTTCATCAGCCCAGGGAGTCACAAACAAATGGAGTCCCACAAGCTGCACACTCCCATGAGACACAAACTGTGGCTCATAGGAGTCACAGTTTGTGTCTCCTCGGACTGATGAAGTCCTTTGGATGAAGGACAAAATGTTTCAGCAAAAAATAAAATAAATCATCCAGATGACCTGACTGAACAATGTTGGACTCAAGAGATTAGTTTTACTTTTGATTTCAGCATCCTCACCACCATAATGAAAATCTTAATGTCTAAAGAGGGAACAATAACAAAATGTGGCGGACTTCAACATCACTTTACTTCTCTTGACGCGCATATATTTTACATTTTATTACAGCTAATTCCCCTTTGTAACCATTTACATTTTTTTCTGTCTTTAAAGAACAGAGCACAGAGAAAGAAACACGAGAAAGACCTCATTAGGTGGACATGGTGGTAACGAATTAAATCTCAACTTACACACACACTCTCCACAAAAACAGAAAATCACTGGTATCAGTATGTTGTGAGTCTATTACTTGTAACATTAAATCAAATTATATTAAACAAATTAAAGTAAATTAAATTAAATTAAATGTTATTGCAATTTAGAGAAGCAGGGTGAAAGTTGAAAACTGAGGAGCTTTTGAAACGAATTAAAAACTAATAAACAAAACAGCATTTAATGAACCGTCTTTTTATATTGCTGTACTGAAGAATAACTTATAATTAGCTGGTCATTAACTTTCTAGCATTTTAGTAATGTTGGTAATATTACTCAAAATAATGCTTTTTGGAAAAGTTTCTCCATAACCTCTATAAAATTTTGGGATTATATACAAGCATTTTCAAACCACTGTCAGCAGCAGTGGGTCATACTTGCTTCCAAGGTACGATTTATATACATTATTTTCTTGGACGCGGTTAACAAATCAGAGCATGCAGAGCTGTTTGGGACGCCAAACCTTAACGATGCTTCACCAAGCAGTTGGGTTTTCACATTTGCAAGAACATTTTAATGAGAGCGTACATCTTGACCTGGTTCCAAACGAACTCCATCTTGTCATGACACAAAAGTTCAGACTTATTTGTGTCCTATAGCATGAGCAGTGGTTTGAGCAAGAAGCAACGACAACGCAAAAATACAGAATGTTTCCATGTTACACTTAATGGCTAAAGTTTGTCAGTGCTAGAAGTTGGGGAGTGAGGGAAAGTTACATACTAAGGATTAATGTAGAGAAATTTAGATCGACTTACACTTAGAAGCAGGCACTTGTTCTCCTTGATGGCACCCAGGCAACCAAGAAAGCCTGTCACCATGACGATGGCGCCAATGGCAATGACCATGTTGGCAGCTGACAGTGAGGGGAATGAGGGTGAGAAGGTGGCGAAGCTGCCTTGTGACACCGAGAGCCAGATGCCCACGCCGAGCAGCCCACAGCCACATAACTGAAAGGCAAAAGACAACAGATGTCAAGGTGTGAAACGAGAAACACTTGCAGTGTTTTCAGGCTGAGCTGCAGAGATTGTTCTCCTCCCGTTTCATTTTTAGCTCACCCGTCGCTGCTTTGGTGAAAAAGACATACCCCGTCAAAGGGTGACTTTAGTTTTAAATAAAAGATAAATAAAAATAACAATAAAATGAAACAAAAGGTAACATTCTGTTTTCTTCTTGCTGCCAGGACCACACAGTTACCAAACACTGCTATAAAGAACAGGTTTTACACTAATTACAGCAATGATAAGCCAATAACGGCTCTGCAAGGGATTAGGGCAAAAATTGGACTTGGTCCACACCGGTTTTTAACGGTTGAGCTGATTACAATAAATCCAGAACATACAGAGATGTAATTACTCCCAAACCCTAAAATGACAAGTTCCAAGGTTTTCTAAACCGCCTGCAGTGGATTTGAACTTTACCTAGAGGGAGCAATTACCTAATCTCGCCCTGCCAGACTGCTGATATGTGTGAGGTTTGAAAAGTGTATGTTATGGCAATATTAGTGTTTTTTTTGAAAACTTTGATTTGCTGATGCGCGAGTGTTTTTATCAGACAGAAGGCTCAGCATGACCATCATTCTCTGAAATATAAACAAGGAGCTAAATTACTGACATAAAATGAAAAATGAAAATGCCAGACAAATCTGGTTGTAGCTAAAAACAAAGGAAAACATAAAATAAACTATGGAAAGGTGACGTGGCAAATCACTGAGCTACTATATTTCCCCCTCTATGCTTCTCTCTATTTCTAATCTCTGCACCGCTGCATGGGGACACTTTAACGCCTGTCAGCAATATGTGCAGAAAACCTGCTGTGCATGCAAACAAACACACACTGAGGCACTGATTTATTCACCAAATCCAGACCAGGCATCATCTGACAGGAATTACACACAAATATGTTTGATTTAAAACTTTTTTTCTGCACACAACAATACACCCACACAACTCAGGAAGAAAAGGAACAAAAAAACCCCAAGGCTGACACAATTTAACATTAAGATTGCCTAATGGATCAGTCTGCTGTGCACCTGCAACCCTCTGGAACAAGCTTCAGTTTAACTGGTGGAAAGTCTGTTTACCATTATGCCACATAGCCAAACAAAATGACTTGATGCACATCAGAAAATCATCTGAACTCAATGGTTGCGTCTTAACTCAAGCCCCATAAAGTGATGACCGATGCTTTTAGATCTAATGAATTCAACTGGAGATACCGAACATAAACCAAACATTCCCCTCTCAAGTGCCAGATGTGCTCAGTGTCATCACCACTGACCTCTGACCTGTTAAGGTTTGACTTTGTACAAACTGACCACAAAGGGCAACAGTGATCCGGTGTACAGAGAGCAGCAAATTCAGGAAGATGATATGCTCGTCCTTGTGAAAGCAAAGAAATGACTAAACATGATTAAAAAGGAAATATGAATCAGTACTGTGCAAAAATACCTAAAACATTATTCAAGAAAATCTTTAAAATTACACATTTCATGGCTGACTGACTGCGATAAAGTGTGCGCTAACAAACAGCCAAGGTTAAAAACTGTGGGTGGCTTTAAACAGACCTGGCAATCAGTCGTTGAGAGGAGGTCACATATTTATCCACATTTAGACAACAGGGGAGTCACACTTGATTTACTTCCATTTTAAATGGAGTGGTGTGAGTAAGACCACCACTTAGAGAAAGAGAGATGCATCAGAGCTCACCAGGATTTTCAATCATTTCAATTCTGAATAATTCAACGGGAGATGAATTCACCGGGAAGCATCTTCCAGCCCTCTCTGCTTCCCTGATTAAAAACAAGAATGAATGTGTCTATTGAAAGTGCTGGTAAAGGTCATGCCCTGATACAGAACAATGTCTAATATACAGAATCTGTGCTAACACTGTTCAAAGGGCCAGATCATATATCGTGTGAGGAGGGATTTAGGGAAGCAGGGGACTAATAGTAAGTTTAAGAGGCCACATAGATAAAGTGGATTTACTGCCAGTGTGGGGAGGTTTAAGAGCCCTGCTGTGGAGGAATACAGTGCCTTCTCTTAATTGTATTTAATGCCCAGTGAAGGGAGCTCATTCAAGTGTGTCACTCATTAAAGTGACCAGGAAACCATCCAACTCCTCTCAGTCTGTCGGATCTTAACCTACGATCTAATCTCCAACTTGGTTCTAGCACTAAATGCCATAATGTCATAAAACCATTGTGTGTGTGCCACAGAAAATACTACCTATACGCTCTGATCTTGGCACTTGTCTGACCTTGGTTGTAAGCCTGAGCTTGAGCTCCTTATCTCATCATAACTGAGCAACAGAAAGGTTTTGATAGCCCGTCTGCAGGGAGGGATCAAGACTTTCAAATGTTGGACAGCCCTTTAAATATCAAAGTTCATGCTCAATAATCCAGGTAAGAAATCCAACAAAGTTAAGTCAGGTCCTCAGGATGGTTTATTTTTTTGTTGAGATGTTCAGTCTTTCATCCAAAGGACTTCATCAGTCCGAGGAGCCACAACAAACTCAGTCCCACAAGCAGCAAACTCACATAGTGGGCCAGCCAGTTTGACGGTGATAAGATGGTTTCTGGAGTCCGTCCTCTCCCCCGTTGACTCCTCTGAGGCAGCCATAGACAAAGTGGTTCATAACGTCAAAGTTCATGCTCAATAATCCAGGTAAAAAAATCCAATAAAGTGCAGTCAGGTCATCTGGATGGTTCCTTTTTTTTGTTGAGATGTTTTGTCCTTCATCCAAAGGACTTCATCAGTCAGAGGAGCCACAACAAACTTAGAAACCATCTTATCACCAGCAAACTGGTCGATGCACTGTGTGTGTGCTGCTTGTGAGACTGAGTTTGTTGTGGCTCCTCAGACTGATGAAGTCCTTTGGATGAAGGATGAAACGTCTCAACAACAAAAAACAACAAAAAAACATCCAGAGGACTGTTGGAGCCCTTTAAATAGTTAGAGAAATGCACTTTTACATAAAGATGTTGATCAGAAAATGGCTGATAATGAAAAGTTATGTTCAGCATTTGGGCCCGGAAAATGAAATTAATCATCACTGCATTTTTAGAGCAATGAGGCAATTAAAGAGCACATTGGTTTTGAAAGGTTTTAGGTTTTTTCAAATTATTTTCTTCTAATTCAAAAATAAAATGGCAAAAAGAAATCCTCTAACCTCTAACCACTGATTACACCAGATCAGTGAGTCTAATTTGTTTGTTTACTTGTGTTGTACCACATTATTTCAACAGAGAGATTTCACATGATTTATTTGCACAGATACAAATAACCACCATGGATCCTCTGGGCTGTTTACTGCTTTCACTGTTGCCTTGATTCATGTGTGCGTCTTTGCGGGCTGCGGAACAATTATTAAGAAACCAAGTCTGACACGTGACAGCTTTCCAGGCCAGCTATGCATTTACACGTTAACACACTTTATTGATGGATAAAGTCTTTTCGTCCGTGTAGTTTTCCAAACATCTTTCTTGTCTAGTTATTGGAAAACACAGTCAAAGCAAATCTGCTGCTTTCACTTGATTCTCTGTGTTAATGTGTTCTCACGCTTGCTGTCAGTATGCGCATCGCTCTAAAGGGTACTTTTTGTTCAAGCCTAAAGGTACAAACTGTATGTCTGGGATAATGAAAAGAAAAAGAAATGCAGCTGGAATTAAATCGACTGCTCTTAAAATTTGAAGCGAGTTCAAGACAAGAAAGAGCCTTTAATTGTATTTAATGTCGAGTAATTTTCCACAGTAAAGGGAGGGTGCTGAGACAATGTGCAGCTTTCACATCAGCTATAGGCAGTATCTTAGAGCACAAAAGGATCAAATGGAGTCCACTAAATGCCTAAACAGCACTTGTAGAAATCTGACAAAAATTCCTATGAAGAGAGGCGCAGAAGAGAAACAAAAGTGTATGATTCTGTCCAGTTCATTGAATGGCCTTTGGGTGCTATACCAATTTAAGGTGGGTTAGATAAATTACTTGTAGAGTTGGAAGCAACTGTGAAAAAACTTTGTACAGGAAAAAAAACCCCGCAATATAAAAGAGGTTATCAATGAGGTGTGTGAAAGAACAGATCAGAGAACAACACATGAGATGTGCGTCAGAGAAAGACTCGGCTTGAGGAGAGAGATGAAGAAGAAAATGGAGATTGACCTCTCTTCCGAGTGGCTGGCTTGGAAAATTATCAGGTGCTGCGGTAAATAGTTCAGTGACACGAAGCCACCTGAAAGCAACCCTCTTCAATCTCTCACAAGACAAGGGGGGAGAGCCGGTGGGGTTGCAGGTGGAACACTGAAGGACATTTCACACACTGATCATTCAGAGAGGTCATGACCCCGTGGTGAAGAATGCCTGCTTCTGTCGAATTACTGCTGCTCTCTGTCACCGCTCTCGTCACAAAAGCTTAATGAACCAGTCACAAAGTGTGACCGAACGAGCGCGTGCTGGCACTGGAAGTTGGGCTGAATGTGTTGAAGCATCCTAATTCAGTTTAGTTAAGCTGCTGAGAAAATAACAAGTCGGCAAAGATGGAGTTGTTTACGATATATACAAACTTGTACTTCACCTGGATAATAAACGACAATCTGCTGCAGCATCAAAACCATTAATGTTGATCCTTTTTGCTAGTATGCAGCATTCTACTGGGTTACCTTTTTAGCCCTACAATTATTGTGGGTGTTAAAATGGAATGAACAGTCCATCAAAACACTGTAACAGATAAAATGACCTCCATTAGCAACAGCGTTCTCTGATTGGAGCACCAACGCTACAGAACCACACAACAAAATGGCACAACAACGTCTTTAGGAGCAGCACAAGCAGCCTCCCAACTCCCAATGATCCGAACCTTAGTTAGCATCTATTCAATTCAGGTCAGTTTGAGAATCAGTTTTGATTGGTGTTTCCTCAGGCTGATAAAACCCTTCGGATGGAGGATGAAATGTCTC